TTTGTAAATTGATTTTTAAGGTGTGATTTAATTATGGCAGCAAAGGAAATTTAGGTGTGAGAACCGGTGTCTTGGATTGGGAAAAATCCAGCAAAAATCAGGAACTATATACTTGAATTGGTAGCAAATTAGCATCCCAAAATTTTAAGGTTAGTAGGGGGTGTCCAATTCAAAATATCCTATAAATTGATATGTATGTGCATATGTATTTGTGAATGTGAAATGATTTATTTTCAGTGCAAATTGTGGAAAGCATGAGCTGGTAGTGATTTTAGGAGTTTGTGAATGCCAAATGTTTAAAATGGGCTTGACTATACATATATATATATATACGGTTTATATACGTAAAGGATTTAAAAATCGGGAAGCAAGCTTCTCAAGGTATTTATGTCAAAAACGTGCCTTGTGGATTGTGTGAAGTACATTCATGGATAAATTCTTATTCACCATGTGCATTAGGCATTTACCCTCTGCAAAAAGGTTTACATGGCAAGGTGATACAAAAAGAGGTTTTTTAGTGTTACCATGATCGGTATTTTGAAAATAGTTTGAAACGATCTTTTGAAAACTTGATATGATTTTTTTTAAATGGTTTTATTGAACTGGGAGATTCAAGAGTAGGCCGGTTGTCACTCCGGTTAATTGTGACCCTTTTGCACAAGTGAGCTCCAGCTAGAGAACCTTTGGGTCACCGACGGGCTGCTAGACATGGCTGGGGCCAAGCTTTGGGATTTACATGGCTAGGCCATAAGTGAGTATATGCGGTTGCGACTGCTTGATTTGCTCCGATGTCGTACAACATCTTTGAGATAGCTATGGCAGGTAGGGATCCGGTGGGGACGAGCTCCCGGATGTTATGACGTGGAAGTGCATCTATGTGTTGCCATTTTTGTACCTACTCGAGAGTGACATTCCTTTTGGTTTTCACGTAAGAAATTTTTACACAATGAAGAATAATAGTTTTTCTACTGCTCTCCTTACTTATGTGACAACATTGATCTAATTCTTTATGTATGAAATGCACTATGAAATTGCATATAAGCTTTGTAACATATTGGATTTTACGAGAGCATGCATAATGACAGCTCATTACTTTAACTCGTTGTTGAATGATTAATTAGTTTAAACTTACTTATTCGCATACGAGGCATAAATCTTCCTTTGGAATAAATTGCTTGTGTATATATTCTTCTATTTTTAAATCTTCAAATCTTCTACCTTTAGCTTGTTTTCCATCTACACGTTACTTACGGGGTCGATGATTATTGAGTCTGTTAGACTCACCCCACTTTACTTTCTTTTGCAGATAAGTAATCAGTTTTAAGATTTTGTTCAGTATCTTGAAGTTGGCTACAATATAGGTAATGGCATCTCTAGACTTCCACTCAGAGTCGCTCCACTGCCTAGAGGTCAGTTTGTGTATCATATAGTCTAGTTTGTAAGAATCAATAGTCACTGAAAATGTGATGACTAAAGTTTAAGGTCATGTAATAATGTTTATATATTATGATGAGTTGTATAAAATGATCAAATCTAGATGTTTGTAACAAATGGTTATGTTTTAATTAATGTGATTATTGGGTTTGAATGATTTATAGTGTTAATGTTTGATGTTGTTTGGAGATTTAATTAAGACTTGTTTGGGATTTGGCGAGTCCACTAGCAAGTCTCAAACGCCAGTAGCGATCGAGGGAAAAAGTCATTACAAAGCATGTGAAGGCAAATGAGTGATCAAGATAAGAATCATTACTTAAAGTGTTTTAGAGGGCATATCTTATTAATTCTTGATTAACATTAGCTTCTTGAAGTCTTTGGCCAAGGTGTCTTCGAGATTATGAAATGGTTTCATAAGTCTCTATAAAGCTAATGCTTTAACTGCAGGAATGAATATGGAGGTCAATAAGAGCAGACACTATGCCAAGATCTTATCATCTTTGAGATATATGATTAGGCAATGAATTACACTAATAGACTATACACTGAAAGGTTGTCAAATAACCCTTTTACTCTTCTAAGAATTGAGTGGCCATGATGCATTGCTAGATGCCAATATTGGTTTATGAAATTGATTATAAATTAATCGATTGAAATTTGTATCAATCTATTAAGTTATTAATCAATTCCATTGCCAACATATTAGGAACGCAATGGGTCATACACAATGATTGCATTTGACTAAAATTGAGAAAGAGATGATTTATGTTAGGTTTAAATCACATGCAAGGTAATTAGCTTCCATAAACTTAATTAAAAGAGTTTAATTAAGTTTTCGGGCATAATATATAAATAGTTATAATTATAATACCGAAATTACAATAACATAAAGGAAATTATTTCTATTTAATTTCCATTGGGCTTAATTAAAATAGTATAATTAAGTCATAGGCCCTTATTGTAATGTGTTATAATATGGAGGGCCTTATTGTAACACTAAAGTTAATTTTAACTTAAGAATATAAATCACATTTAACTTTTTCCCCACATATATGAAAAAGAGTTGCCAGAAAAGAAAAGAAACATGTTTTATCTTGTGTGCTGCCACCTAAATTGTGAAAAAGAAATATTGTTTTGGAAGTAATTTTTCAAGTGTGTGATTCTGCCATCCTTGTGAAAAGTGGAAAGGGACAAATATTGTCACCTTTGCTAGCACAAAAGCATAGTTCAAATCTCTCTCATTGGAGGCCAATAGCATGATTGGCTGGGGTTCTTGCTTTAGGTGGTGTTCACAAGTTGTATAGAGGAGATTGCTATTCTGATTAGAAGAACATTGCCAAGGTTAGCTTTCTATTAGCTAAAATATCACCATGGTGATCCATGGGTGGAGGTATGTTTTTGTTCTAAGGTTTTAATTATCTTTCTGCTATATATTTTTGAGTATGCCATCCATAGCCAAACCCAACAAATTGTGTAAGGGTTCTCACTTCCCATTAAAAAGCAAAAATTTATGGATTGGAAATTCATTTAAAAGTTTTAATTATATTTTGTGGATTGTGTAAGGGTTATCGCTTGATCCTGTTAAAAAGCAAGAATTCTTTTACTGGATTGGAAATTTTTTATTGAGCCAAGAGAGTGGATGCAAGTATTTGAGAAAGCCGAACCACTATAAAATTCTTGTGTCTTAATCTACTTTTGTGCATTGTGATTTATTTTTGAAAAATTGTTTTAGAAAAATCATTTACTTTGTTTTCGACACAAGTAAAAAATTTATTTTGAAAAAGGTTTGATTTTTACTTAGTGTCGTCATTCTTATTATAACTTTGCTTTGTTACATTTCATCTTAAGAAAATCCATTTCATAAATTTTATATATTTATCATATTCATTTTTCACATTTTGATTTGCATGCTAATTAAATCTTTTTCAACCTTCACTACTTGTCAATTTATTGTTGAAAAGATTTCTTTGAACTATTCTTCTCAACTTGTTTTTATTTGATCTACATTTGGAAAACATATTTTTAATAGAGGATCGACTATAACTTCACTATGGTCAACTATACTTAGTTGATTTTCATTTCCAAATTTTTTAGTATGCAATTCACCGTTTCTCTCTTGGATATTCACTCTTTGAGCTAGCATTTCTGATACATATTGTGAGATATTTCCAAAACATAAGTTCCTATGGCAATAGCTGCCACTATTACACCTGTTGCCAACTTCAAGGTTACGTTTCCTTCAATTAACCTCCAGATTTCCTTGAACCCCTGCAACATATTGCAAATGGTTATGCCAGAATCCATACACTTGGTATTAGAAGAACCAATAGTTAAATTAGTTTTAATAATAAGCACAATTGGCATACCTTCTAAAAGTTTGTCTCTTTTTCAAAGTTGTCATGTAATGATGACAATTCCTCTTCCAATGACTAAGCTTCCCACAATGGAAACAATTTCAGTTGCTTTTCTTTTTCTCAATATACTTGTTTAAATTTCACCCTTATTCTTTGAGGAGGACTTAAAGCCATTAAACATTGTATTCTTCTTCTTGCCCTTAGATTTGAACTTAGAGTTACTTGCCTATTCAGTTAACATGACAATGGGCTTGTTCGTCTTTATAAAACCCTCTATTGCTTGCAACATATTGAGCAGCTCAGATAGTCTCACAACAATCTTATTCATGTTAAAGTTCAAAACAAATTGATTGAAGGATTTTGGTAAAAAAGAAAGGATAGGATCAACCTTAATTTCAACATTCGTCTCTGCATTAAACGTTTCCAGTTCATTAATGAATGAAATCATTTTCAGGACATGTTCATGATTTGGATTGCCTCCCACCATTTTAGTGGACATTAGGCTTTTCATAGTTGCTTGTCATGCACTATGATTTTGTTCTTCAAACATCTCTTACAAGTTTTGCACCATATCCTTTGTAATAGCTAGGCCTTAATGCTACTGATGCAAGACATTGGTTATTAAAGCCAATATGTAGCACTTAGTTAACTCATTCACCTCATGCCACTTGCTAAATACATTCTTTTGTTCATTTGTGGCATTAGTTTCAGAAAGTTCAAGTGGATCTGTGGTTAACACATAGGCTATCTTTTCAATAATCAGAATAATGGTCAAATTTATTTTCCAATCCACATAATTTGGATTTCACAACTAATTGCCATGCAAAATTTTGGCCAAGGGATTAAAGTTAGTCATTTTAGATATGAAAAATATAGTCTGAATGAGTTTCACATGAACATGTAAAACAAATTCACATATCTATACATATAAATATATATTTCCATTAGATTCATGCATAATAAATCTATGATGGTAGCTCCCACAGGAATATTAATAATTCCCAAACTAGAATATAACAATTATATTCAAAAATTCTAAGTGGGTATCAAGAACCACATTACTGTATATACAATTAAAGCTTAGTCTAATAATTGCATATACTTTGAATGGGCAAGTAACTTTTACTCATCACAATTTTTTTCTCATGTTTAAATTTATGTATGTTATTATCACTTTCGATATTTTTTGGCCTCCAAATATATCATGCGTAATGCCTTTCAATCACCATGTTAAATTTGGTTAAATGCAGCCATTGTCTAAGTGTATTATATGTACTTAATAGATATGACTTTATTTAAGCTGATGTTCAATTTAGTCATACACACACTTATCTTCTCAAGAAATAAATTAAGCAAATTAATTAATCTAAATCTAACTTATCCTTTTGCCTTCATTGAACCCTAATTAATTCAAACCTCAATCTATTGACAATGGAAAGCCATAGAAATTATTTCAATAAAATAATCCTATTTAGCACTTAATATTTTATTTTGAGATGTTATTAATTGTATATCATTTACACTTTGACATCTTACATCAAATAGGCATAAACTCCTACTTGTTGGGATGAGCCCTGCAGCCAATTGGGATTGGTTAAGGCTTGATTCTACTCATGCAACAACATCATTCATGTCGAATAATTAAAGGTTTTCCTTCATCAATAAGACATCAATTATAATAAGCTATAAGTCTAATTGGATGAAGTCCATAAGATTAGTATGCCTTGCAGGGGAACTATAATGGGTTGCACTTATGAGATCCTTATGCATCAAAGCATAATCTCAAAATGTTCTTGGTCAATGTATCATTGAGATTGGACATTAATGATACCTAGAGACTGGTACATTCTATGTTCCTTACTTAAGAAGTAAGCAACCGATCTCATAGGTTGAAGTATAGAGATACTTATAACTAGAATGTAGGTGCTTGCCTAAGAGAGCAAGTTTACTAAATATGACTTGCCATGAGAAGTGCATTTGATATTTCACTCAAGTGCCTATGCAATACTTTTCATGTGTCAGTTGTGTAAATACTTACTAGACTTGAGACACCAGGTTGTCTTATGTGTGGAGTGTTATGCTTTGATTTCATCCCTATGGGTGCCTAACCAAAAATGCCAAAATAGGATGCTTTTGTGTATAGCATGAAGCATGTGAAGGCAAATGAGTGGTCAAGATAGGAGCCATCACCCCAAGTGATGCAGGGGACATATCCTAACTGTTCTTTGTTGATATCAGCTTATTGAAGTCATTGGCCAAGGCGACTTGAAGATTATGAAAAGAGTTACATAAGTCTTTATAAAGCTTATGATAAAACTTTAAGAACGAATATGGAGATCAATAAAAGGAGACACTACACCATGTTCTTATCATCTCTGGGATATACGATATGGGAATGAATTACACTGAAAGACTAATCATTAAAAGGTTAAGTCAAACCATCTTGACTCTTCTAATATTTAGGTAGCAATGATGAATTGCTAAATCCCAATCTTGGTCCATGAACTCTAGGTAGTTAACTTGATTAATGATAAATTTGAAGTACTTTAAATTTCTCTAATTATAAGTTTAACTTAAGAATTATATGTTGAGTTCATTGCCAACATGTTGAAGCCTAACGGGTTACACACCTAAAATGAATGTTAAAAATAAAATGGGAGAGGTGATTAAGTTGGACTTAATCAAATTAGAAGTTATGAGCTTCTTAAGCACTTGATTAAAATTGTTTAATTAAGTTGTGCCTAATTAAATAAATTTTTTAATTAAATCATTATGCGTAATTAATTAAATTGTTTTAAGTCATTGGGCTTAATTAATTAAATTAAACAATTAAGTCCTTGGGCCTAATTGATTAAATTTATTTAATTAAGTCATTGGACCTAATTGATTAAAATTGTTTAATTAAATTGTTGTGCTTAATTAATTAAATTATTTAATTAAGTAATTTGGCCTAATTGATTAAATTAAACAATTAAGTTAATTGAACTTCTTAAGGACTTAATTAAAAATGTTTATTCAAATTATTGGATTAATTCGCAATTACAAAATAGTTTTGTAATTAGAGTTTAAAATTAATCCAAGGTATAAATACCTTGCTATAGCCTCTAAACAAAATGAGAGAAAACAGCTTAAAAAAAAAAGAACGGTACATTAGAAATTCCTTTTGTCTTGCCGTTCGTTGTGTGAAGAAAATTAGTTTTTCATTCACTTGATTTCTTTTGTGAGTTCAGCCCCACAATTTTGTGTGGATTATGAGTTTACGAAACTAATCTTTTCTAGCACATTGTTAAGGCATAGCACTTCCAATTCTTAAAGAAGGAGTTTCTAATTCATTAGTGTGCATCACCACTGGAGGCTACACAAGGATTCCTTTGACAGCTTTTGTAACACCTCGTACCCTCGTATAGAAGTCAATATGACCTTATCGATAAGACAAAGGTCAATTGACTCTAATTTAAGTGCGAAAGAATGGTGATGGGTGAACGAAGAATAGTATTAAAATAATAAAAATAATAATATTTTATCAAGGATGAAGTAGTGAGTTAAAAATGCAATTTGAAAGTGAACCCAGACAAAGTGAGACACTTTGAGACCCAAGGAGACAAGTGAAGAATTTTGAAATAAAACAATATATTATTAATAAAATAATATTAAAATATTAATATTTTATCTGTTCTTGAAATCAGTCATGAAGAAGGACTATATGGCTAATCTAAGTGGGGGAGAAGAAGTAAGAAAGAATTTCCAAGAAAAATGACGTTAGCGGGGGATTGCATGCCTTCATTAAACAGAGTAAGATAGGATAAGTATATATTTAAATATTATGGTGACACCTTGTTGAAGTATGAGTTTGATATTTTTTTTGTACAAGTGTAAAGGACAGGAAATAGAAGGAAATTAGAATTAAAGGAATAATGGGAGGACCAAATTGAAAGGAATAAGAAATTGAAGGGTGGAATTGAAAATAATGAAAAGTAAAAGGGGTGAAGTTGTAATTATGAACAAATTGAAGGATCAAATTGCAATTTATGAAATGTTTAAAGGACCAAATTGAAAAGGATGAAAACTTTGGACGGTCAAATGGTAAATAAGGAGAAAATTGAGGACTTATGTATAATTTTACCATTTTAAGTTAAATGGAAAAGTAACTAACCAAGGAAAATTAGAATATGCGGGAGGATGAAATATGCATGTGACAAATACTATTACATACAAAGATATGCATGCAAGGATGTAGTTGTAGTGGTGAACATGTGGGACCCCCACCATGTGACAAACAAAAAAGCATAAGACAAAATGAATAAGATAGCACATGCATGTAGATTTTTACGTTAAAAAGAATACATGGAAGATTTATGCATGATAGACACTTGGTGACAATTAGACTAAAATAAGAGAAAATACAGTTGCAGGTAATGTCATTTGCCAAGGAGGATGCTAAATGGAAATTAAGGTGGGAAAGTTGCATAAAAGACCATTGGGCACAAATAAGGTGGGATTAAGTGGAAATTAATTAAATAATGGATATGGATAGTACAAGAGGATTTCTAACCAATGTGGAAGAAAGAAAATTGGTGCATGAAAACTTATTGGTAGGTAAAATGGCCAAATGAAAGTAAAAGATCAAATATGTGCATAAAATTTGATTGGTTCAATGGATGGCCATATAAATACAAGTTTCAAGAGTAAAAGAGAAAAGGGAATTAGCCTTGAGAAGTTGAGAGAACTGGCCATTAAGAGAGGAAAAGAAAGAAGAAATTGCTTTGATAGCTCCACCCGAGAGGAAGAAAAGAGAAAGAAAAGAGAAGAAAAAAGAGGAAATGGAGGAAGGCTCAGGTTTGAGAGGATTTAAGAGAAACCGTGGGCTTCTTACTACTTTCCTATTGAGCCTTGATTCTTATTTACCATTCAAAGTGTAGATTGGGAGCTTGAAGGAGATGTGTGGCTTGGTTTCAAGATCCAAGTAAGGAAAGGTAAGAATTATCATTTTAGTTTGAATATGTTTTGAAAATCCGATGGTAACACAACAAACATTTTATGGCAGCAAGATCTTCAAAGAATCAATGGGCTGGATGCATGCATGTTGATTATGCACAGGTGTATGGTGATTTGAGACAAAGAAATGATGGGTAAGTGTTCTTGACCTTGAGTTTAATGAATGGAAAGAAAGATAGAACATTTTTTGATGATTATGTTTGTGGCAGAAATGGTGAACAATGTTATGAAGAGATATTGAATTGCATGTAGAGTGCAAAGTGATTTGGAAGGTAAGCATGCATTGTGGGTATATTGTGGTACATTAGTTTTGGCTAATTGAAAATTAGTGGTTGCATGTTAGAGTAATTATAAGAATAAAGATGAACAATGTGGATATTGATTAAGGATTCTTGTTTAAGATGCTGCCCATATATAATTGTGTATATGCATGAAATTGGAAATAATGTGCCCGGTCGGCTATAGTGAAAAATAATTATTTGAAATGTGAATAGTTTTTGAAAATGAAAGGAACTAAGAATTTGGTACATAGGGCAACAAATGTGAGCTGAATTGGAATGATAAATATTAAGTATATTAAGCTTGGTTTATTGCTAGGAAGTGTGCAAGTGAAAAAGGATTATCGTGGTGATTAACTAGAGAAGGAAATAGGGTGACCGGCAAGCTAATTTAATTTGAAACGTAACTAGATAAGGGGCGAAGTAATATCCCACCATTGTAAGGTGACTATGGGTGGTCTATTTCAAAAGATTCCATACTATATAATGTTCTATGTATAGTAACTCGTCAATGATTTATTCAACGTCTTTGTGGAAAGCATGAGTTGCCAGGAAATGATAAGTGATTTGATAAGTAAATTGTGATTTGAATACTTGGTTTGAAACAATTTATACATTGCTTTTGTGGAAAGCATGAGCTAGTAGAAACCCTAGGCAATTGTGGATGCAAAGTCATTTGGAAGTTGCTTGTGTAGACTATATATATATACATATATGTGTAGTGTTTTCAAAAACCAAGAAACAAGCCCTTTTGCAATGTTGTGCATCAAAACCGTGCCTTGGATCTTTGTGAAGTGTGCCTCGTAGATTGCACTTGATAAATGGCTTAAATTTGATTTCTTGTGAGCCAGTTTTAGTCTGAAATTTATGCAAATGTTTACACAATGCATTTTAAGGTGAAAAGTAATTTTGAAAGGTCACCGAACCTTGTTTTCAAATGATTTAAGGAAAAACTCTTAGAAACCTTGATTTGGTTTTGAAAACGATTTTGACAAACTGAGAGCATCGAGAGTAGGCCAATGTCACATCAAGATTGTGTGACCCTTGTGCACAAGTGAGCTTTAGTTAGAGAACCTTTGGGTTGCCAAGGGGTTGTTAGTCGTGGCTAGGCCACTGTTTGCGATTATACATGGCAAGGCCACGAGTTGATATACGTGGTTGTGACCATATGATTTTTCTGATGTAGGTTAATATCATCGAGACTGCCATGGTTGTGGGAATCCGGTGGATGGGGGCTTCCCGAATTGTTATTACGTGGAAGAAGGTCTACGGGTTGATTATCTATGATTACCTACTTGAGAGCCTTGAGGCTTTTTAGACTCGTACTCTTTTGCATGGTGGAGAGATAATGTTTTTCCATGGCTCTCCTATTTAGTTGAAAGTTTTAGTGCTTTATGTTGATCATGAGTTGATATATGTGGATAAACACGATTATTTTTACATGCCACACATTTTGGAAGTGTGCGTGCTTTTGTACAGCTATTGGTATTTTTGAAGGAATTATATGATTTCGATGATTGAAATTTTATTTTATTACGCTTTGAGCTTTTTGAGCTATTACAGCTTTTGTTTGCAAAAACCAGGCTGAAGTGGTTCAGATTTTTGAAGGCTGATTTGGTGGTTTAACAAAGGATTCATCAACCTTTGTTATTTAGGTAAACTTGATATGATCGTATATATTTTTATTTTTTAATTTAATTCTGTACTCAATTTGGCATGAAAGAGATCCTACGAGGATAAGGCAAAATTTAATTTGTTAAATTTATTTCTGCTGTGTTTTATTTGTATTTGATGCATGATCAGCCCTCACCCAACAGTGGTATTAGAGCCCTTTTCATGCCATTTGAGTGCTTGTTCAAGTTCAATGGATGCTTGATTAACAAATAGTTGTTTTGCATTTTGGTTTGGTGCGATTTTGTCAAAATCAATTTTTTAAAAAATCTGCTTTGCCAATTTCATTTAATTCTGTCCAGCAACATTTGTAGCCTATGTTAATCTTATTTTAAGTTATTTAAATCATATATAGACTTAACTAATGTGTGTTTTGAATTGTGCAGAGGAAGCACAAGAAAAAGGAGACTATAAGGAACCGTTTTCGAGGCTGTCCTGCAAGGCAGCACACAGACAGTTTTAGATGCAGAATTTTGCTTCTATTTGTGCTTAATTTCCAGCAAAAAATATATTTAATTGTTACACATTTATTGTTGGATATGTGGACAGCAAAATCATGACATGATCATGATTAAATAGGCTGATTTTAAGCAAGAAATTGGAGCAAAAATTGAAAGCAGTCCAGCTCACTGTTATGACATGAATTTCAGTTTTAATTAACAAGAAAGTCTTGGAAATTAATTCTGAAAATTTTCAGAAAGATTATCTTTGTTAAAATGTTCAATATTCCGGAAAATATCATTGTCAAATATGCTGATTTCAAGCAAGAAAATTGGTGCAAATATAAATCTGTCCAGCTCACTGTTTTGGCATGCATTTCAGTTTTAATTGACAAGAAACTCTTGAAAATTAATTCTGAAAAATTCCCGAAAAATTATCTTTATTAAAAGGTTCAATGAGGATTATTTCTGGAAATTTTCATGGCCAAACAAGCTGATTTATGCTACTAATGATTGAAAGTTTGAAAACAGTTCAGATAATAGTCAAAATTAATTCTGAGAATTTCAGGATATTATTCTTATTCAAAAGGTTCAATTAAAGGATAAAATTTTGAATTTGAATTAATTTTCAGTGACTGGACACTTAACTAAATTAAAGGAATGTCCTTTACATGTGAAACAGCACTCATGACAAAGGTTGTGCATGGTGCTGCCACACATAGATGTCACACCTCCCATTGCCATGGATGCAACCACTTTATGGAAAGTGGTTGTTTGCTGGAGAAATTGGACACTTAATGATCAGGAAGGATATTTTCCTTAGCTGATCATTGACTCCTAAATGTTAGAGATACATGCCTGAAATAAAGGAGTTTGAATCCTTGGTGGAATCAATCAATTTTAAATGGATCGATATTAAATCTCCAAAAATATTAAGTCTTCCTCAGTTGATGAAGACTCCCTAAGACAAGGGATTATGATTTAAATTTATCTACATCTAATTAGATTAGATAATTTTAATTAAAATGGAAAGTCAACTTGAGTAGATGACATCCTAATCCGATTAGGATAGATTTTAATTAAGATAAATTTACTAATGAACTAGGGCTTCTAATAATGATTATAACTCTACAATTAGTGAATGGATAATACAAGATTAAAAGGTGGATAAGGACCTTCCTAAAATAGTTAGGACACATGATTTGGATCATGAAACCTTTTAAAATGGTTTATGATAGATACTCAAAGTGGGAAGTTTCCTAAATTGGTTTAGGTTTCTAATTAAAGAAGTTTAATTAGAAAGAACTTACTAATAGAATTAATTCAAATATGATTTGAGCTAGTAAAAGGCCTTGATATGATCAATTCCTTTACAAAGTAATTTAAAAAAAATCACTAAATCTTTTAAAACCTAAGCACCAAATGATTTGAACTATGATCCTCAATGGATAAGTGACGTTTTTCAAATGAAATGCAAGATCATCATCATATTGAGCATGTTTACTTTATATGTTTATAACTAGATTGTAGATGTTTGTTGATGGTTATGGACTATAGACCCAATATGATTGTGGATGTTTGGTTGAACTTCTCTTTATGGAAATCTTCTCAAATAGGGTCTGCAAACCCTACCTTATCTCTTGCATTCTAGGTTTGTAAAATTCTCTTCTCATATAAATTCCCTCAAATGTAACTCGAGGTTTCTACATTCATTTGTAATTAGAAATAAGATTATATTAGGAAAACAATTTTATAAATCTGAAGATAAGAGATCAAAGGTGCCATGAAGAGCTAAAGGTGGATGCAAGCTACGGCATGAAGTGCTTAATGCATGCTATCCCCTAAGATTTGACCAACTAGGTTCCTTTTA